TTCAATATATAAAGTGTTTTCCTTCATGATAGGCAACCAAAAGCATTTAATATTGGGAAAACGTGATCGCTGTTTACACTTAAAACAATGTAGGCCAAAAAACAACGCTCCTAAAATCTTTCCAGATATCCATGTGACAAGTAACTGCTAGAGTCTTGCCCAAAAGCGAACTAAAGTAAATTCAATCGCGTCAACAATGCACATTTTGGAAAACCCTGACAGTTGCTGCATTCGCCATGAAACTGTACCACAGGCAGAACGAATATAAACATCTCGTTTAAGTGGACCGAGTGATGCTTTAAAATGTACAAGGCGTTCAATCAAGGAGGAAACTTCGCAACACCGTTGACCGTGCCCAACATTCCTCACAGATTGCTGCTGTAACTGTAACGGCGCGCGTTAATCAGCGCTAATGACTCATTCTGCTATCAGCAGTTACAGCAGCGATCTGTGAGGAATGTTGGGACGGGTCAGCGGTGTTGCGAAGTTTCCTCCTTAACTGAACGCACTGTATTTCAGCTGAAATATCGAAACATTGTCGATCTCGTACGTGTTGTGGCGGAATCTTTGGAGATCAGTGCCAACACTGGGTACTGCAATTCTGTTCGAGAGTTGATAAAGCGAATTCCCGCTCTCCAACCTAGATGACATATGTAGAATAATTAGTAGTATCTCCCGACTGTTACGAGCAATCATGCACTTCTTTGGGGTAACTTAACTACTGTCATACCATAACACTGAAGGGTCTTAGCCACCTGATTTTATTAACTATTGTTGACACTACTTTCCTGCCGAATAGCAAACTAACTGCTCATCAAATTCATACCGCTTGAAACCAGAAAATTAATCAATTACTGTGATATTAAATTTCGGGGCTGGGCCGTTGACCTCAGTTATCTAATAAACGTGGGTATTCATTCATTCATTCATCAGTAATCTGTCAGACGACAGGTCCACAGTCTCTTCCAAAACAGTTCCTCCACTTAATGCGATCTCAAGCTTTCTCCTTCAGTTAAAATATCTTCTTCCGTCTTCTTCCTCGACTTCTGGGCACTTCTGTCTGCCCCTCCGGTTTGTTTTGTCTCCAGAGGAAACATCCAGGAAAAGTGATAATGTGGTAGTTTTTCCATTTGCTTTCCACATCGCAGTACAACAGCCGTTCAAACCACTTGTCACGCCTGTTGCTATACGAACTTGAACCATCTCGAGCATCATTTGCTCTGTGCTTCAAGTCGCTGCTGATGACGCTGCTTCCGGCATCAGTTTTTGGTTTTTGGTGTCTCTCTTCGTCTGATGCCTACCCTTTGACCTGTCCAGCAAGGGAGGCCCTGCCAGTAGTTACGCTACCGCTGGTATAGCTCTCAGGGTCCTTGGCATACTCAAACCCCGTCACCACGTTAAGGTGGAGACACCAACGAGCGGGAAACGTGGGTATACGTGATGTCAATTCTCGGCTCTCCTCAGAAATACAACCCGTAACACTTCCCGTAGTCGCATTACCAATGTGTGAACGGCTGGTCCATACTTCCATTTATGTGTATGATTCGAGTGACTTGTAAATTACAGGTGTTGTACTAACTGTAAGGTTAGTCCAAATTTTGACCAGTTCCTCCAGATTACGGTGACCGCTTTGATAACCTCTGTAATAAGGAAGAGAAGAACGAATAAAAAAACTCTATGGCTATAGCCTGCAAGCGAACTATACCGACCGAGCGACCGTCGCTTGTCGGCGAAGTTAGTGCCAGTTCTTGCGGATAGAGGGTGTCGCGTGGTCAGGGCAACACATACCCACGACAGTTAATCTCGGTATTCTAGACCGGAGACGCTGTTTCTTCGAAATAGCTCTTCATACAGATTTTTTTAATTTCTGGTGTGTATTATTATTTCAAAATTTGTTGTATGTGAGGTTTCGATATTTCGGGAGATAAAAAAGGTAAAGTTATCCCTGTGCTTATTCAATTAAGCACGACGCCATGAAGGCGTATGGGGGAGTAGATGTATATATCCTCGGTACTAGTTGGACGTAAGTGGTCAGCTTAACATCCTGGCCAATTTACCGTCAGTTAATTAGCCCCCGGTACTCAGTGGATAGGAGTCTGGGTGGTCCCCAGAGCCGGTCTGGACGACTTGGAGAAGAGAAAATTATTGAACGCACCGGGACTCGAACTCCGACCGCTCAGTCGTCCAGCCCGTAGGCACTAGGTATACCGACTGCGGTACCCCTGACACGACATTTATATGTATAATATAATATTACAGACTCACCCAGGGCCCAACTGGAGGAGCAGCAGGGCCATTTGACCCAGTCCTTTGGTTGAGGGTCCGCGAAATATGTTCTTATTTAAATAAAAATCGTTGTAAGCAGTCAAGAATCTGTGGGTTCCGTTTAATTGAATTACTCACATAATTCTTGACCTCTCATAGAGACTCGTTTGCATTGTCTTCCGTTATTTTCAGTTTACCTTTCGTGGGGATTATTAAGGAATACATTTTTATAATATTAAGATGTGTATTTTTATATAATTTGTAGCATTATATGGGGTGGGGACCCCATGTATGTAACTAGCCTGGGCTCCATCTCTCATCTTTAAGGGTCTGAACTCATCTCTTGGTACAGTTGGAACGTGAGTCGAATTTGAAAAATTTATTCTTTTGTTAACAAATCTAATTTTTATGTACGTTAAGAACTGCAGAATTCAGTAAACGCACCGAGTTAAATTAGGTCTAATTGTTAAGGAAGCTGTAAATTGTCAAAATATTAATTAAACCCGTAAAGAATTAAATGATTTGCTTTATTAATTAACAAATATCTCTGATATTCCGTCTTACACATAACACTTTTTTAAATTTTTTTTAAGTTACTGCATATACACAGTCAGTTTTTTAAAACTATTTAAAAATCACTTTGTACACTACATGTTTCGACCGTCAATCTTCATTATCAGGTGTTCTCAACTGTTTATGGGGATCGTTGTGCATGGGTTTTGCGCTTCTAATGTTCGATGTGTACGTAGTCCCATGACACCTAGTTTAAACACGCAGCGCAGCAGGAGGAAACCGCCAGCACAACGGAGTACACAAATAATCGTCCAGAACAATAACACACTCACTGTCATGGAGCTGAGCCCTTCTTGAAAAGCCGCCAATTGTACAGCTACTCAAGAAATTTCCAGCATTTTATGGAACCCAAAGGTTCATTACCGTGTTCACAAGATCCCTCCACTAACCCCCTATCTTGAGCCAGATCAATCCAATCCATACTGCCCCATCATCTCTCTCTCTAAGATCCATTATAATATTGTCCACCCACCTACGTCTTGGTCTTCCCAGTGATTTCTTTCCTTCTGACTTTCCCACCAATATCCTATATGCATTCCTCTTCTCCCCCATTCGTTGTACATGCCCTGCCCACCTCATCGTCCTTGACTTGATCAGTCTAATTATACTTGGAGAACAGTACAAGTTATGAGACTCCTCATTATGCAGTTTTCTCCAACCTTCTGTCACTTCATCNTTATGCAGTTTTCTCCAACCTCGTGTCACTATCTCTCTTCGGTCCAAATATTCTCAACACCCTGTTCTCAAACAACCTCAATCTGTGTTCCCCCCTTAATGTCAGAGACCAAGTTTGACACCCATACAGAACCACAGGCAAAATTATAGTTTTGTGTATCTAATTTTTGGAACAATAACACACTGTACACAAAACACTAAAGCAGGTTATTAACGCATGTTACAGAACACGAATGTGTGACGGGACTACACAGCGAACATTACAGGCGCAAAACGTAAGCACAGCATTCTCCACAGAACAATTTTTTAAGAACACCTGATGATGAGCAGTAACGGTCGAAACAAAATGTACAATTTAAATAGATTTAAAAGACTCATCGTGTATATGTTGTATTGTATTATTGTTGTTATTGCTAGTGGGGTGGGACTGAGTCCCTTGTACTGCGGCAACTTCTGGCCTATTGTACCAGCCCCAGATGATAGGTGAGGGTGATTGTGGAGCAGTTGGTGGAATGAAGATTGGCAGGGGAAACTGAAGTTCTCGGAGAAAACCTGCCCCAGCGCCACTTTGTCCACCACAAATCCCACTTGACCAGACCTGGGATCGGACCCGGACCGCCGCGGTGGGAAGCCAGCGACTAACCGCTTGAGCTATGGCGCGGCTCGTATATGAAGTAAGTTTTAAAGAATTTCTTAAAAGAGTGTTGCATGTAAGACTGAGTATCACGGATTTTTGTTAATTAATAACCAACGCGCAACAAGGTGCTGCAGTATAACGTTATGATTTGCTTTGTTGTAAGCTGTTGGGCCTCGGACGAAAACTGAGGAACGTCACAGAGCATTGTTTCTTGTCTTTCAGAGATCTTGACTGGAATATGTGATAACAATAACGAGAAAGAGGACGAGAGAGGAAAAGGTAAGTTTCATTATTCGTATTATGTCTGTCTGTCTGTCTGTCTGTCTGTCTGTATGTGAGTGTCTGAGTCATAGGTGCACTGCAAGTTGTGTTCCACTGTAGTCATGAAACAGAGTTTAATAATGAAGAAAGCAGTCTTCTGGGATGTGGCGCCGTGTAAATATTGTGTTAACCGACGTTTCGGAGGATAGTGTCACCTCCATCTTCAGGGTATAAGAAATCCACTAGCGATGAACCAGCGTGAGCAGATGGCTATAGCTTGTAGCTATTTTCGAATGCAAATTGTTTTCTTTGCAAGAAAATATATATATGAAAAATTCGCCACTGATACTGGTTTCTTTTATCAGGAATCATATTACTACTCGTATACAGATAGCAACCAAAACTCAACTTGCCACCTGCTTTCAAGCTGATATCTCGTCCGGCTTATTTTTAGACCCTGAAGGNTGTAATAATAGTTTGCACAAAGTAAGATAGTGCTTTGTAGGTCGGTCTTTGCACCAGGGATATCGAGTTCATTCTCGAAAACTAACATTTGAGTATGAATTGGATTTACCCGACAAAGAGCAAGTGTACCAACCTCACATACCCGCACTGCCGTTCCTTACTCACTGGGTTCGATTCTATGGCATCAGACCTCTGTCCTTTGTTTCGCGTTTCTGAAATGCAGACGATGTTACAGATAAGAGATTTTCAGTTGAGTCAGCTGACCCAGAGGTCACTATCATAGTGTCAATGCCACAATCTGACCACAAAATTAAGGAATTCCCCTTTCACTTATTCACTGAACTAACCTACTCCTTTAACCTGAGTCTTTCTTGGGAAACCGCCAGTTGCTCAGCTAGCCAAATATTTCCCAACATTTTATGGAACCCAAAAGTGCATTGCCGAAATCACAAGAGCCCTCCACTTGTCTCTATCCTGAGCCAGATGGATGCAGTCCATACCGTTACATCCTATTTTTTTAAGATCCATTTTAATATTATCCTTCCATTACAAGTAGGCATTTCTAATGGTATCTTTCCTTCTGGATTTCACACCAAGATCCTGTATGCATTCCTCTTCTCCGTCTTTGAATTCCTATTATGATTTACACAAAATACATTTTCTGTGAACCTCATTTCAGTATCCTCCAGTCCACGTCTGGGTTTTCCATGTGACATTATCGTTGAGTCTCCCCAGTAAACATTTTGCAGATTTTTCTCGTGCGTGCTATACTTTCCACTCATCTCATCCTTTACTTGATCGCCTGTAAGTTATGGAAAGTGATTATGAAGCTTCTCGTGGCATAATTTTTTCATTCTCTTGTTACTTTCTCGTTCAGAGTCTGACCTTGTGATCACGCCGCCCTCAAACACCCTCAGCCGGGTTCTCCCATTAGAGTGCGAATCCAAGCATAATTCTGTTACAGACTTTCAGGCAGAAGATGGGAAAATTATCTAGCACGGGTGTTCTCTCATTATTCTGTTATAATATTTAATTGAAGGGAATATGAAATTTAGACCGCGTCTGTGGTCTAGTGTTAAGAGTTCCTGCCTACAGATCCAGTGTTCATGGGTTCGATTCCCGGCTCTACCAGATTTTCTGAGTAGTGGGACTAGAACCGGGGTCCACTCAGCCTCGTGAGGATAATTGAGGAGCTATTTCAAGGAATAGCGGCTCCGGTCTAGAAAACCGAAATTAACAGGCGTGGGGATTCGTTGAGCTGATCATGTGACACCGCCTATCCGCTAAGTTGGCACTAACTTCGCCGATAAGCGGCGGTCGCTCGGTCGGTTTGGTTCGCTTGCGGGCAAAAACCACTGAGTTTTTATTATTATTATCATTATAACAATTTCAGTTGAGAATTAATCGTAGAATAAGCCAAGACTCGATGAAAGCAGAATGAATGAACCTTGAAGTCTCGAAGCACCAATGGGAGGCGTCGAGCCGCACCTGGTGCGATATGCTGCTGTATTTAATTCGAGACTTCAGTCTTTCTTCCCTGCGGGCTGTCTGGCGCCGCTGTGTGCTTCATGACTTGTATGCCTTGTACAGATTTATTGCGGCGTTGCAGTGCGCAGTCTCTTGAGCGCAGCGGGAAGCCAGGAAGGACACGTTATGAGTTTACATTCCTTATAGACACACACTTCGTATATAGAAAATTTTATAATGAGCTTCCCCGTTTGCACTGTTAATACAATAACGTTGCCTTGATGAAATTATCAGCAGTGGAATAGCGAGACATATAAAACGCATGGATTTAATTCATACGGACTCTTTCATGGTAATCGCCATGTTAATAATATTTAAGGTGGAGAAAGTAGAAAGTATGAAGTTGAACCCGCCTCAAGTCGCCACTTATTTCGTAATAAACCTTAATATAAAGAGTATGTCAGTATAATTAATATTGTGACGTGTATGCCAATTGCTAGGCAACAGGTCGGTAAACACATTCCCGCAACACACGCGCACGCTACAATAGGACGTCTACTGCAAGGCAGCTGAGCTGATTAATAACACAAAACGGTGTTTTCCATGGAGTGTGCTCCAAGGCTATATAACGAGGATCTTACGCAGTTAGAATTAGAAATAGTTCGAGTTCTGGAGATGGCAGTCGAAAATGGCAGAGAAGAAAGGCATTAGACTGTGCCATAAAGACTTCATGGGCGAGTTGAAGTTACAGTGAGACTGTGATAAATCCGTTGCCAGGATACGACTAGTGAAGGCGGAGAATTCTAGTGCGTGTACCACGGTAAACTGGGAAGTGTGTAGAATAGCGGTAGCTCTGTATTACCTGTAACCCCGAACTCTGTGAATTTATAAGGTGCAATAAATCCAATCGACCTATCCAAAACCAAAAGTCACCCCTACACGAGACAATATACTTAGTAGAGTAGTTGAATGAGAGACTACGCTGCAAGCCAGAAATTCGCGGGTTCGATTTCCGATGAGGTCATTTTATATTCCAGTTGACCTAATCCTTCCAGCCGCACTACGGCACTGGGTTCGACTCACTCTGTAACAGAAATGACTGCCAGGAATCTTCATTGGTATAAAAGGCTGCCGGCGCTTAAGACTGACAGCCTTACCGCCATCTGTGAAGCGATTATCTAGAAAATGTGGGATCCTCGACGCCTCAAAAGCCTATGGGCCACCACGGCCTGTTACAGGGATAACGTTTCCTTTTAACAATTAATTATATGAAAGGGAGAGTGGAACAATGGCCAGTGGTCAAAATAATAGCTGTAGGGCTATACTAACTGAAATATTATCACAGCCCTTAGGAGAATCATCAGGATTTTCGTGTCCCCAAATTTAGTGAAAAGAACATGGTCATGTTCTGCATGTGGATGTGCTGCACACGGCACGTTTATCTTGCACCTCTTCCTGTCAGCGGATAAAAAATAAGTTAAGCAAAGATGTATTAGTTCTGAAACTGCACGGGCCTCGTCAATACTGAAAGAGGGATTTACAATACTCGTACGAAGGATTATCTTATTAAGGATGCGCCGATCCAAATTTATAGAATGTCAGATGTGAAGATCTCGAGACAACCAACAATGTTTTTGTTAGATAAAATGTAAGGCTATCCCCGTAGCAGGCCGTGGAGGCCCATAGGGTTGTGAGACGTCGAGGCTCACACATTTTCTATAGACAATCGACTCACAGATGGAGGTAAGGTTGTGAGCCTTATGCGCCGGTCACCCTTTACCCTCCAGAAAGATTCCTGGTACTCATTTCTGTTAGAGGCTGAGTCGACCCCAGGGCCATAGTGCGGCTGGAAGGATTAGGTCAATTGCAAAAATCCACCTAATCGGGACCCGAACCTGCGACGTTTCGGCTTGTAGCATAATGCCTCAACCAACTACGCTACCGCGTGCCCTAAAATTTGTGACTGGTATATTAATACGAATACAATTATTGTGGATTTGACATTATGCACTCCTGGTTTTATTTAAATATTGATAAGCCCGTCGCAAGGCCTCTATCTAAACACAGGACAACACGTACACATACCAAACATCCATGCATTGTGTAAGATTCGAACCCACGATCCCGACTTCAGAGCGAGCGAAGACAGTTCATGCCTTATACCGCTCGGCTACCGCGAATTATTTGCAACCAAATCAATTTTACGATATGTAGGTCTAATTTTAGTACAAGATTACCGAAGTTTATAAACCAATTTGATATTACTAAAATGTATCTACGCGTCATCAGGGATTTTGAATGCTATTGAGAATTAATTCCTTCTCAGCTGCCTTCAATCAGTATGTGAGATTGGTAACAGTTTGAAGTTTACGTCCGTTTACGTCGTTTCGACTGTTAAAAATGAAAAATGCCAAGTCACAGTTGAGCAACGGTAATTTACTTCGTATTATACAGTGGATACCGGCGTGGTATGTGAAGAATTCCGTCTTCTGGGATGTGGCGCCGTGTAAATATTTTAACCGACGTTTCGGAGGAATATATCACTTCCGTCTTCAGGGTATACGAAATCCGCGAACGATGAACGATGACATAGAATGATGTGCTGAGCATTAATGGACAGATTCAAAGAGACACGTGTATAGCTTGTGACAGTTGTACGATATTTTGGTGTAGTAGTGTAGCTCAGTCGGTATAGCCACTCGCCACGGGCTGGACGACGAAGGGGTCGGGGTTCGAGTCTCAGTAGGGTCAACAATTTTCTGTTCTCTACGTCGTCCAGACCGCTCTGGGGTCCACCCAACTTCCTATTCAATGGCTACCGGGGGATCTGTCCTCGGGGTAAAGTGGCAGAGGCGTGAAGCTGACCACGCATCTATAACTATTGCCGAGGTCAAGAAAATGTGGATCTATACATCCACTCCCCCATACGCATTCATGTCGTAGTGCTTAATTAGTTCGGCACAGGGGCAACTATACCTTTACGGTAAAACAAATTAAATGGTTCAAAATTAACTTGAAGATTTGACGTGTATGGTAAAGAAGAAGAAGAAAATATGAGATCTGAGGTTCTCTCGACGACGAATATT